CTGTCTAGCAGACTTTTCCCATGAAGTTAGGCACTTCAGTTGCCTTCTTTGAAAAAGCAAAATAAACTCCAGAATGGCTCTTGTGCTGTCCCTTTTGACGTGCCTGCCCTTCTTAAACATGAACTGCCAGGTAGCAGCACGTAACAGAGCTAGTTGGGAAGAACAATTTTTTTATGCTTCAATGTAGGTTGAAGATGAAAGCTGCTGAAATCCTTAGTGATGCTTAAAAAAAAAATCAAAAGCCCTCAGGTGATGGTGATGTGTTTTAAATACATTTTGGTGTGCTGCTTGAGCAGAAATTGAATTTTTAAAGTGGCTCTTAATTAGCCAATACTAGAGGCTAAAACAGAAACTAGAGGCTAAAACAGCAGCTTCACTTAAATTTTTAAAAATTGCGACTGATTTTGAGTGGTTCTTGATTTTTTTTGTTTGTTTGTTTGGCACTGAAATGGGGAAAAAATAACCCTTCCCTCCTTATTTTAGATAACTTTCTGTAACCAGAACAAAACAGAAACAATTTTTTTTTTTTTTTTTTTTTTTTTAATTAAAAGAATTTTTCACTTCTGGAAATTCACTGCATTTTGTAAAACAGGAAGAAACCTTATGGCCATTGACCTTGTCTAATGCAACTACTGGCTGTGAAAGATTAAAGAGAAATAGTTGTATCAAGTTGCATACATTTGACAAGTGAAGGAAACCAGTATAGTTTCGTGAGATGAAAACACTTTTGGTATGAGGTTTGCATTTTTTTACTGTTCATGGACTGCTTTCAGACCGCTGCTTTTACTGCACAGACCACGACTTGATAGTTAGATATTTTGTTAATCTTTCTTTTCTAGCACCTTTTATGTATCACTTACTGTTAGTCTGAAAGAAATTCACATTTCTCTCGAGTTAAGAATGTAGTGCTGGAGATGATCTGCTTTCCTGTCCAAGTTAATTAAATATGGAAGGAACTTAGGAGGCCGTTTGATGCTGATGAGTACGTACCAAGCATCTTTTGAAGTGTGTATACTGACTTCACATTACAAATTGATTCATGACAGAATTTGTTCAAGAGGAATATTGATTTAGATTTTTAAACTTAGTGCTCTAATTTAAATCCATTTCTGGTAAACATGTGGTTTAGACACATTGCCAGTTCGTGGTGTGAGGGCATAAATGATGATTGTACATCTGAAAGTGGGAAGGGGTTTTTTTTTTTCAAATTTCTGTAAGGCATGAAATCATGAAGTATCAAGGCATCTGTAAATCAAGTATTTTACTGTTTTCTGTGATCCTGAGGTTGTAAATACCTAAGTGCATGTTAGAAGTTTCTAGGATGCCTTCTAAAACTAGGAAAATAGGTTGCTCGTGGTTTGATGAAATATTATTAATTTACAGTTAGGATGACATTTCTTTAATGCTCAGGCAGTAAAATTTAGCTTTTCCTTCTGTATCAAAATGGGTACAATTTCAAGCAGTTAAAACTTCGATCACTTTATATCTTACAAAAATGCAGTGAGTCGATATGTATATTGGAAATATGCAATTGGAAATACGTATATTGGAAAGGACAGAGGAGTCAGACCTCGATCCCATGGAAGTTCTGTCATTAATTTCAGTAGGCTTTATAATTGGTAACCAATGATTACAATTAAAAATTCTCTGCAATAAATTAATTTGCCTTTTGTGTTGAAATAGCACATATCACTGCTAGGAATAGACAAATACGGCTCACTGAGGCTAAAGCCCAGTGGTTCCTGTGCTCAGGATTACTTTCCTTGGTCATTATTAGTACAGCTCAGAGTCCCTTGGCTGTGTGTAACAAAATAGCAGAAGCCCATCAATGCACTGTTTTATTTATTGCTTTGAAATCCTCGTTTTACGTAGCTTGCATCATCCAGTCTGCTGAAGATTGGCCAGGAGACGGACAAAACTACTACAAGAAACAGAGAATCTGTTTACCTACTACTAGACATGGTGAGCATTTCTGTGTTCTGCTGCTAACTGAAGGAATAGGCTTCACGTTGCATCATTCAGCCAGGGGTTTTTGGGTGTCACCTTGAGTGTTGCAGCTCCCAGACCAGTAGAAATCATTTTTAGTGTCCTCCTTCCTGGCATTTCAAGGTTCAGGATTTTTTTTTTCTCGTTCCTCCAAACGCATACACACGTTTTTGCTGTTGTCCTTTGTTGCCTAAAACATTGTATCGTGTTGTTCAGATCACTGTCACTGTTCACTTAGCACATGCAACACTAAAATGAAATTTCACATTAAAGAACCAGCGTTCAGAGGTTTCCTTTCAGTGTTCTGTATCTCTCGGGAGATGACTGCATATACAGGAAAGCTTTTAGAAGTGGTGCATTTATAGCAGTGTTTCTCCCCTACATTTTAAACTTTGTTCTATTTATTTCTGCCTTGAAACATGTGGGTGGTTACTGCAGGCCAGAAGTATCTACTTCAGAATAGATTATCAGCAGCAGGCAGTAAAAGGTGTTCTGCAAAACCTTGTGTTTCTGGTATTTTTCAGATTGTGCAGGAGTCTCCATTCCTGACAATGGATCTCTTGGAGTCTTGTTTCCCTTACGTCTTGCTGAGAAATGCATACCACGCTGTCTACAAACAAAGTGTCACATCCTCTGCCTAAGTATCTACTCACTGGAGATAAGACATAGCACGCACGCATCTATGTGGCCTCAGTTTGATCTGTAAACTGTGGAGCTATTTTACTTTATGGCCTGATGAACAGTTTTTGTGAATTATAAACTTTTTCCATAAAGTTGTATTCCTGATCAGTGGTTTCTTAATATGGTTGTACTACGATATAAGCTTGGTTGATTTTAGGTTGCACATTCATGGAAAATCTTTTTTCTCATTTCTTCCTTTTTTTTTTTTTTTTAACTTTAGAGCATCAGTTATGTTTTAAAAATACTACTTCTGCTATATGTTTTTTGATATTGATCATGCAAAACAAAAATTGCTTGTTTATTTCCCAGAAGAAAAATGTATTTAGTGATTATTTTAGATAGTGTAGCTTTCATCTGTGTGTAAATTATTTCATATAGGGAGAGTTATAATCTTGTACCTATTGTTCTTATTGAAAACAAATATTGGATGTGCATTTCTGTGAAGTAATTACAGCATTTCTAGTTTTATTTTGAAACCTTCACCGATCTACGTACTATGACACTATCTAACATTAAAAACGTTATAGGACTGCTTATCCTACAGACAGAGATCCTCTCCCGATACTCTTAAACAACAGCAAGTGGTGGTGTTTGTATAAAGCATAGTGGAAATTTTTTTTAAACTAACTTCTGTGGTGCCCTGTTGGCATTAACACTACCATTGTACCCTGCTGTATAATAAACATTCTTACACATTTATCACATGTTGATAACATGTTAGTCCTTAACCACTTTTTATATGTTTTAAATTTTTGAAATTCAAGTGTACCTTCCATAACATACAATAAACACTAGACTGTATTATCCGTAGGTGAATTATTTTTAATATAAATGTTATCCTAGTATTTTAAGCTTAAGATGTGCTGTTGTGCATTGATTTACATCTCACAGTTCATTAAATATCAATCCTTAGAGCTTTTATGTGAAGACTTCTTTTAATCCTTCACCTTTTGGCTTCTGCGATAGTGAATCTTGTAAAAAGTTGGAAGAAGGAATTAAAAACAATGTAAAAAGTGTCAGTTTAGTGCCATTATCCTTTAAATCTTACTTTTACACAGTGAAGTGAGAGCAGCATTTATACAGTCCGTAGCGATGCTGGGTGTACCCACAGGAATGTGTATTGTTAAAGTACAAAACTTGAAATAATCCTGGAACAGGCGAGTGTTGCTAACACCGTAACATCAGGCATGACTGAGACAGATGTATAATAGGCCTTTTTTTTTTTATCAGTCGTGCAAATTGGCCTGCAGGATAGTGTGGGCTCATTTAGCCTGAAAGCTGACCAGATGGTTGTGCTCTGTAATCCCCAGCATATAAAAGTTGTGTGTTCCTCAACAGGCTCTGGACATTGTACAGAGCCCCTGTTCTTGGTGCAACTTCTGTGCATGCTGGTAACTTTTTCTATTATGAAAGAGCTGTTGTGTGCTCAGTTACAATAGCTTCCTCTGTCCAGAGGAAAAAAGTACTGGAATAAAATTGTCCTAAGGAAGTAAGACAGTACATCTATATTTTTCCTAATTATGCATTTTATGTTATAACCATGGAACTGTTTTTAGATTGATAATTTAGTAGCATAATGAATAAGTTTGTTCATAAAGAAATTAGGTTGAATGCAAGACTTAGGAGTTCTATTCTGTAATATTTATAATCTAATACATTCAAATGTCCTGATTTCAATTAAGATTTTGATTGTAATGTAGCCTTTTGTGGAAAAACAATGCCTATTTTCAAGATGGACTCTTGAAAAACTCAAGTTTAAGAAATAACCTATTTTGTGTCTTTAATCTTTTTAAGTGCAGAGCGATTGTATGTGTCTGTTTACCTTGGATCCCTGTCGGCTTTCCACTGTTTGAGGTGTTACAGAACCAAGCCTAGAACAGAGGTAATCACTGACAAATAGGTGATGAGGACAGTGTCTCTGCAAGAAGCTGCTTCTGACACAACTGGATTAGATTTAGTCATGAGCCTTTCAGACTCGGTAGTTTCTGTGGGACCCTTTACATATATGTGGTGTCTGGCACACAGATCTCTGAGGTGATGCCTTTTCAGCTGCCCTTCCTGCAGGAAGCTGGGCAAGCTCAGAACCAAACGGAAGAACAGGGGAGTTGGGGGAGAATCATGGACTCATCCGTGTTTGAGTTGGGGTGGGAGGGCGTCCTTACTTGGTTCCTGCTGCATTTCTGTTGTTTCTGGTTTCAGCTGAGGTATTGCAGCGCTATTTAGGGTTCAGCCTGTTTGTGGAAGGCAGAGCACATCAAGCACAGTCCTCAAGGCAAGCTGTGTTCATGCACTGCACAATCTGCCATAAACCCGGTAAGCCAAGTTTATTGGGGAAGAAGGTAGAGAAGGAATTCTCCCTCTGGAGCTTGCAACACCATGTCCACAGCTTAGTAAATTCAGCTGTTGCCATTGTATGTCAAGTCATCTCAGGTGGCCTTTTGTGCATTTCCAGATGTGTTTGTAATTCCTGGAGCCTGGAGCACAGACGGCTGGGCTGAGCTAGTCCCATATGGAGTCAGTTTGGATCAAATGTCTAATCTGTGGGGGAGGGCTCTCTGCCCTGTTAGAGTGTGGAAGAAGAATGTCCTGTTGCTGCCCAGAAAACTATTTTTATAGTTAAAAAAGATGTCTGTCAAGACAAAAGATTACCATTGGAAAAAAGGGCTCCTTTTAAACCTTTTTTTGCTGTAGCAATTTGTTTTCTATATAGGAAAAGGAATCGGTAACCAAACTTGATGCTTGGACTATACTAGTTTTGATGCACTGGAGAATGGCATTCTTTCTCCCCAGAAAATTTTGAAACAAGGCTGGTGATTTGAGGACAGATATGAGCCTTCTCCAGCAGGTCATCATGGGCTTGTATGACTTCAGAGCTTATTCATTCCAGATTCAAGAATTCTGGACCATAAGTAAATATGCCTTGTGTCCAAACTGCATTTTTGCCAAAAGTTTCCCTGGTCCTGGGATTCAGCATTGTGATTCATACTGAAGAGTGAACCGTCTATTATTTACCAGTAACTTATAAATTCTGTAAGTTCGGGTATGTCTGAACTGATGCTGTAACATTTTATTGGTGAATTGTTCCCTCGAGCTGAATCAAACTCAAAGCTAGGTTTTTAGGTGTAGCAAATTAACCTGTTGAATCAGTAAAAGGTTTTTTTTAGACACAGGCTTCAAATTGTTCTCACATTCTAATTCAGGTGTCTTTTAATGCTGTAATGCATTTTGGATACTATAGAAGTAATTTAATGCAGTTGTATTCTCTACTAAATTGGGCTGATAAATCGAGGACTGAAAGAATACAGGAAAACTCCTTCCATTTCAATCCTTGTGGCTATTCCAAGGCCTGAGGCTAACCCTGAAACGTGGACATGGCTGGCAGTGCTAAGCAAGGTAATTTAAATGGCAGCTACACCCATTTGATTGGGTTTCATGGATGAGAACCACTGCTTTCAGTGTTGTCAAATAACCATTTTCAAAAATAATAGAGTTCTTCCTATATCTTTCTTTAAGTAGAATTTTTGAATCATCTTTGTGGTGAAGGTAAATCTTCCCCTGAAACGGCAGAAGTTTTTTTGCTTGAATTGACCAGTCCTTTTATACTTTTTGCTATTTGTCATGTTACGAAGTCTGTAAATATTTGTACCAACTGATAACAAAATCAAAATGTCCCCCTGACCTGTATCCAAAAACATATTCATTTGCTATTAGTCATGCTTTTTCTAGCACTGCTGGGTCAAAACGACCTGTTCACTGGATATAGTGTCAGTGTGTCTTACGTAATTCAGGAAGAGAAACTGTGAGGATTAAAATCAGAATGAAAAGCGTATGTTGAGCCTCACGTGAAGCAACGGTGTTTGAATAGTTTCTTGTGTAGGCTTCCAGGCTATTGCCTTGCTCGTGATCATAGTAATCTTACAAAATACCTTCTCACAAAAACAAAGGTAAATAATAAAAAAACTAGACTGGCACCTGTGAGTCCAGGTGTGAGCTGCAAAGCTGTTACAGCTGAGTGTTTTAAACACTGATGGTCATAAATCCAGTTCATTGTCCACTAACCACATACTGTCATGTCTTGTCAGGACTCACTTCAGGTTGCAACTGGAATATGGGAAAGGCTTTATTTCAGGTTACCTGCAAACTCTTCTTGTGCTCCCTGCCCTTGCCTTTGAGTCTGGCTAAATTTGAGGGAACCTCGGTGGGCAGCCAATGCAGAAAACAGAAGTCTTGTGTTTGGCAAGAGCAGGATTATTTCCTAATAGAAAGTCAATTGTCTTTTTAACAACAGCAAGGACACGAACTCAGCAACAATGAAACCATTCCTTGCATAGTCACATGAAAGAAAGAGAAGTAAAACAACGAATGCACTGTAAATTAAGATTAAACTAATCATGGTGATACAGAAGAGGACTGAAAAGGGAGGTAAGAGAGGAAAGTGCTTGTGACAGAGTGCTCAGAGAATATTGGAAGGACATTGCTCAGTGACTCTGATTACATTTTATGACTCTGAAGTCATTTGATACTTTGTGGGTTAAATCTGTATTATCTCTCAGAGACTTCAGAATTGCATTTAAAAATTTCACCTGAAGTGTCTTCTTTATTCCACACTCCATGTGAAGCAAACTTACCTGGCTTTGGGATCATTTGTAAATAAAGGATCCTTGCAAGTGTCAGACTTCGAGGTGTCTTCCTATGAGCATGTTTACCAAGACCGAGTCAGCAGAACTGGACAGGACCAACTCTGTTATAAAACACTAGAGATACTGGTGTGTGATGTTTAGATTTAGTTCCATGTATGTCTAAAGTGGAAGATGTCAGGAATGATGCTGAGTGATCAGTTAAGTGAAAATGTTCATCTCAGCAGTTTTTTATTTTGGATAACAAATCAGAGGGCTGAGCCTGTGGTACTTCCTTTAGAGGTAACTTTATTAAGGGAATAATTGCACTGCTATTTCCGTACCAATTTTTGATTAAGTGCTAAGAAAATATTTTAACTTTTATCTAGTAAAAGCTCAGAGGGAAACCAGCAAAAAGACAGTTAAAATGTATCTGAATTTTATCATATAATACTAATTGTTCGCTGGCTAATCCATGGTGGGGCAGGCACTGGTTGAAAGTGGTCACAGCCCTTTGCTAAGGAGTGTGTGGAATCAGAGTTCATTTGTTTTAAATGTCTCTTCAGCTGGTGGTAGTGGATTTTGTTGGCAGAGCTGACACTTAGCACATTTGCCATAGGTATCAGATGCCTCTCAAGGAGGATCTTGGAGCATTTTAAACCAACATCACCTCAGAGCTTCTCAAAATCCCAGTTGCTGGCAGAAGATCCAAGTGGTAAAGAAGAGAAGTTGTGTATTGGTGTCGTAATTTTGCAGGTAGGAGATGGGGACAGAGAACTGCGAGTAAGGGCATAGCCTCTGGTGTAACACTGAGGTCCCTGGACTCCAGCTGCTAGGTGTACATGCTGTTAAGGACTCAGTGACCCCAGAGTGCAGGGGAGAGTGAAATTAAAGGCAGTGATAACCACTGAGGGCCATTTTAAAACCTTGAGTCAAGCGGGACGGGGCTGTGAGAGCACGAGTAGTTTGCAAAAGCATTGGAGCTGGGATGTAATGCAGGCAATGCCTTCTCCCTAAGGAAAGCTCCCAGTAAAAAATCCCATGGTACTGGAAAATAACTTTTTCTAAACTTGTATTCTAATGATTCCAGCGTGGTGACTGACAGCCCTGCGAACAGAGGACAGGCTCATCGAGTATTTCATTAATCCTTGGTGAGCAGGGAAAATACACTAGCTTTTCTAAGTCACAAAACCTTGATCAGGTTTATTCCTGCCCAGTTAAACTGGCAAATATTTGTATGTATGCTTGTGAGCTACATTGCTAAAAAAGGATATGTGTTTCCAATTTTAGTAAGCAAGCCTGTAGCGTCAGGGAGGGGGGAAAAAGCAGCGGCATTGTAGGAACAGTCTATAAATGTGGGGGAAAAAAACCCAAACAACATGCCCCAGCCTGAGAAAAGCTTGTTGGGAGGTTAGTTTTATGGATCTTGTGAAAGCAATACTAGGGGAGGGACAGCGAAATGGCCACACTTAAAACCTATAAATATTTCCCGGGAAAATGCCACTAGCTTTTTCCTGTTTCACTTGAGCTGTGGAAGGTTGTTGAGTAGAGAGGTAAAGCAACTTTAAACATTTAGTTCTCAACCCCCTCACCCTATTTTTTAACTTTTTTTTTTTTTAATTTCTTAGTTAAAAGTAAATACTTAATGTCATGAGAATACAACTGCAGAGAGATAAGCATGTTAATGTCCTGGGCATAAATTTTATTCTGCCACAACTGAAGTGTGTGTGGGATGAAGAACTATGATCTGAAAGTCCCCAAGTTCCCAAAATATTCCCCAAATCATGTTTTAGGGGGGAGGGAAGAGCTCTAGTATGGCCTGGTGCATACTTTGAAGGTCCTGTAAATCACTGGACATCCTGAATGCTGTGGACTGCTGCAAAGGGCTGAAAGAAGAACAAGATCTACTTTAGGCTGTGGGTTATTAATGTCTAATGGCTTCACACTTAACTAATTTGTGGATTTATACTTATAGACCACCAGCTCTTCCTTAATTTTTGAGTATCTTTCTACACCTATTTCTCCCTTATTGATATCTCTCATGGAAGTAAAAATAAAGTGGCAAAGCATGGAACACCCTCACAAAGTCACAGCAGCAGCTGCAGCCTCAGCAACTCTGCCCCACTTTAAATCTTTTCAATAAATCAGAAATGAGATGAGGAGCTGAGTTGTGAAGTTTGAAAATAAGCACCCAGGAGCTACCCCTGTGGAAAGCGGCCGTGTGTGCTCCCTCTGTCCGGGTCTGAGGGAGCGAGGGGCGAGCGAGGCGTTCCCGTGAGGCAGCTGGGAACCTTCCCCTGGGAGAGTTGAAAACTTCTGTGTGTCTGGGTGGGCTCCTTAACGTGAAATTGTTCTTACGGTTTCATAGTTTTCAACTTTCTAGAGTGTCTGCTGCTTGCGTGGCTCTGCAGGTGTGTCAGCAGAAGCTGTCAGGAAAGGCAGTGTTTCTTCTCCTACATTTGGTGTGAGGTTTCCATACAGAGCCCTTTGTGATCCTACCGGTAACGGCTAAAAACACGACAGAAATACACACAAACTGGTTTGGCTTCTGGTTACAGGTAATGCTTTATCCTGGGGCACATCAAACCCAATGAGCTCCCCCTGAAACGAGCGGTGAGTCTGAGTTTCAACACCTGGCAATTTTAGGCTGGGACTGCAAAACTCAGCTGTTTGTGCAGGGCTTATTTTTAGGCACGGGTGGGATTCGGTGCTTAATGCTGCTGGACACTGCTAATAAATCTGGGTAAGCAGCAGCAGAGGCAGGCTCTGGCCATGCAACCAGAGAGGTTGTAAATCTGAAACAGTAAATTTATGGTTTAATAGAATTAAATTCTGAGTGGTTATGGCCTTTAAGCCATACCTCTCGAATTATTTCTGCAGTGGCCAGACTAGAAATGCTGCATAATGTACAGGGCATTATAGAACTTTGCAGGGTTGTTTGGTTTGTTTTTTTTTAAACACTCCATCTGGAGGTAATTGTAGCTTGGAGAGGGCTCAGTGGATGGTGTTGTGTCTCTAGCAGGGCCAGGGTGGGAGGGAAGGATGTATTTTCTGTTACATGCATGGGCATCGTAATAGGGTACAACAGTTTGTCACATTGGAATAATGAACTGAATGCATTGAAATGGAGTATCTATAATATCTATACATAATGCTACCACAGAGGCTATCTCGGGTGTCATAAACTCGTGAACAAGAGTTTAAACAAAAAAAAAGGAAAAAACTGTCTGCTGGGAAGCAAAGCAGCTGAGCATCCTCCCCAGTGTCCCCTCCCATGCAGCAGCAGGTCCCCCCACCTAGGCAAGAGCAAGAACTGCCTTCAGGACACTAATTACATCTCAGTCAGTACAGTTAAGTGACTGTAATCATTCTTTGTCTTTGCCCCAGGGGAATTGGTGTATAAACACAGAACTATGAGGAACAGGGGAATTAAGTGAAAATGGAGCTACTTTGCTCTGAAACACGGGCAAATGCTTTCCCAGTCCTACGTCCATGACCCTGGGTACTGCCCAACTAACTGTGCCTTTACTGCCTCCAAATTTAAGATGTGCTGTCCCAAAAGAAAAGATGGGAGTTCTGTCCATTGCTGTACTTGATGCTTGCTAAACCACGGAGTCAGGAGAGCTGTGGGCATCGTAATTCCAGCTAAACAAGGAAGAGCAGCACTTCTCCTCCACTGGAATCTCTCAGCTCAGGTTTGCACAATATACTGCACTGAAAGTGAGCTGGAAGGATTCAGGGAGGGTGGCAAAGACACATCAGGAAGTTCAGCTTTGTGTCTTCTGCTCTAGGTGCCCTCAGAATGGCCGAGTGCTCCGAGAAGCACGTACCACTTTCAATAAATATGCGGGAACACTGATCCATGTTGCAATGTCCAGGTGGAAAATCAGCGTTGCAGGTAGCAAACTTCAGTATCGAGGAGCTGTAAACCCTGACATGGCCACAAAAATCTGGGAAAAATCCCAAGCAGCAAACAAAATCAGCCTGCAAAATGAGACTGCTATGGGAGAGGTATGTGTTTCTGTGTGCACAGACTGAAAACCTGTAATATGCAATATTGAACAGAATTGGCGTAATTTTGTCTTTGAAATGCATGTTAGTTAGGCTTCTTGATATTTAAAGATAAAGCAGCATATTTTCCTAGCCACACTATTAATTTTACCCATAAGATGGATGCAAAACACTGGGCAAATATGTTTTTCCTTTTTTTGCTGGGACTTCCAGAAGACAGGTAATGTGAGGAAATATTAATATGAAAAAATTTATTCTAGGAGGCATACAGACCCCGAGGGCAAGGGACAGTTAATAATGAGCTGTCTAATAAAAACAGCCCCAAAAATTGCAGTCTGAAAGACTGCAATTAAAAGAACCTTTTCTTCTTCCTTGCTACTTCCAAGTCATCCATGGAGAAGCTTGAAAGATTATTAAAATAAAGAATAGTCTCCTGTGTTTTTTGTACCTGAGGGAGCTGAAACAAGACCCTGGCTGGAACAGGAAATGTACAATAAATCCCATTTTTATGACTCTGTAAGTCAATGATTTTATGGTTTTAGTAACAGCCATGTAAGAAGTATTTTAGGGTTTTGTTTTTGGTGAGTTGCTTGGTTGTTTTTGGTTTGTGGTTTTGTGTTTGTTTTTCTAAGGCAGTGTATACGAGCAAATTAAGTCATATGTAATCCTGAGATTGCTAAAGAAAGGTTCAGGAAAACAAAAACCTGTTCTAAAGAAGTATTTTTGTCTCAGCTATTTTTATTCTTAGGAACAGCCTGAGTAGATATGGTCACACTTGCACCTTTTTTCAGTTGGAATGGGCAGGAGCAGACCATAAACAACAGTCCCTGGTTTATAAACAACAGCCCACTGGCCCTTGGGCAGCCTGAACTGGGAAGACAATGGGAAAGTCCCCCAAGCATGGGGTGAACTTGCACCTTCTCTGAACGCTGTTGCAGGTCAGTGATCTCAAGTTTGCAGAACATGCAAACTGAAAGGAGAAAGGTGATTTTTATTATAATGTCACCTAAAGCGTACAGCCTAACATAGGCTGTTCCCTACTGTGCCAGTGGGGTTTATGGTTTCTAAAATACAAATGTTCCTGCACACATGGGCCCTGCATCTTTGGCAGAGTTGCTACACAAGGAAAAATGACACGTGTTCTGCATTTTTTCCTGATCTTCGCTCTGATTTTTCTTTTCTGAATTTCATGGAATCATAGAACAGCTTGGGTTGGAAGGACCCTTAAAGATCATCTCATTCCAGCCTGCTGCCATGGACAGGGACACCTTCCACTAGACCAGGTTGCTCGGATCTGCTCAGTCCATCGAATCTGGCCTTGAACATTTCCAGGGATGAGACAGCCACAACTTCTCTGGGCAACCTGTGCCAGAGTCTTACCACCCTCACGGGGAGAATTTCTTCCCCATGTCCAGTCTAAACCTACTCTCTGTCAGTTTGAAGCCATTCCCTCCTGTCACTACATACTCTTGTTTGTTTTAGACACAGATTGATTTCTCAGCAGCTCATAGACTATGAAGTTAAATGCCTCCACACTATCTACTTAGTATCTTTCCTCCTAGAAACGTAAACACAGATCTGTGGATCTGCTGAATTCTGCCCCGGGCTGGAGTAGATGCTGCATGGTTTGAGCTGGGCTTTCATCCTCCCTGTGCCTCCTCTGGCACACCCTGCTCACAGAGGTAGGCTGCTGAGATGGGTATAGGGGGATGTGTCATGTCCCTAGAGGGAGACTGTTGCACTTAAGGACAGAACTGATCCTAATGAATGCACTCAGGAGTGCCTGGGCTGCAGCGTGTTCGTCTTTGCCAAACCCTTTGCGTTTCTTACTGTTGCAAAGAAGGCTTCAAATTTCAGTTTTATTTTTTAATAAGGTCATATTTCTATTCAGTAACGTAGTTGCTCCAGCTTAAACTTGAAATACATATATTTCTATATTTTAAGCCGTGAAGTTTTGCTAGTGTACAGTTGTACCAGAGGAGCTGGAAATCAGAGCATCTCAGCCAGCTCTTGCTTCTTAAATCTGTTGCTGTTTATCTGACTCCCATAAGAGAAAAACAAGGAGAGAAGGGGGAAAAACAGACACTGTGTAAAGGAAAAAACAGCAAAGCAATAAATTAATGCCAGGCATCTGGAAGCAGTTCCTTACTTGGTTTCTTTCTGGGGAAGGGTGCAACAACAAACCCCACAATCGCTTTTCATCTTCTTTGCAGCCTGCCTCGTGCTGCTCTGTTTCTGCACCCTCAAATAAAGCTGGTCAGCCATTCCAGAGCTGTGAGGGTTATCCAGCCACCTCCCACTGAAATCCATCCTTATGGCACTCCAAGGCAACCCAGTTGTTTTTTTTTTAAATGGGGCTATGGATGAGTAAGTTGGGCCCTGGGCAGTGCTATGTACTGCTGTGGGTTACTGTGACTCTTGTGGAGCACAATGATAATAATAAACTTTTTCTGTAATTTTTGTATGATCTACTCCAGAGGCAAATCCCTGCCTTGGGCCTCAGCCCCACCGAGCTGTTGTTTATTCTAGGAAATTACTCTGTGTGATACTATGGGCTGTATTATTATTCTTTAAATTCATAGGTCTGTACCAACCTCCCAAAGCCCAAAAGGAAACTCATAGGCAGGCAGTGCTGATCCTAGCTTGTGCCTGGGCACACTTTTATTAAGAAATTCTTGCTGGTCATGCATGACACCGAGCTGATAGAATGATGATACCATGGTTTGACTAAACCCTTTTGGAGTTGTCCGAGCTTAGGAATCCAGTTGCTGTCACCACCCACCCCCAGAGGTTTAGCATTGCCCTCATTGATGGAAAGAGTAGAAAGAGATTTTGTTTTCTTTGTGAATCTTCAGAAAGTGGTGGGAGAGAATTCCCAACAGTGGCGTGGTGGCACCCAAAGTAAAAACTACTTATTTTGAGACCGGTCTCAAATTCCAGATAGCACAGGGCACACTTTCTCCCCCTAGTCCCCATTTTAAGTACGTCCACCTATTTTAGTTCCAGTTGGCAGTTTTGGTGTTGTGCAGCAACTGTACGTGAGGACACGGAGCAGATTGTTGGTTTGCTCTTTTCCTCCAGCTGCTTTATTTCCCTGCTAGTGGAACCTCTCCACCTGCAGGGTAAAGCACTGCAGCTGCACTGTCACAGCACGAAACCACAGCCCTCCTCTGTCTCTTTTCTGCTTTACCAACCTCCACACCTTTAAAAAAAGATGTGCAGTGTCATCTCGTGTGGACTTGAGGTTAAAAAATTAAACTTATTTAATTGATAGCCTTATAGCAGGCATAGGAATATCAGCATTATCCTATTTCCTGCAAAGCATAGGATATGTTTTAAAAGCTGTCCTGTGTAGTTACGAATTCTAAAACAGATAGGAGGCAATCTGAAAAAAAATATTTCCAGAAATAAAATAGAGAGAAAATGTCATGTTGTTTGTTCATAGCACTGGCTCCTTTGCATTGCTCTGGCCCATCTCACTGGACTCAGGTACCCTGGGATGCACCACTTCCACATCCAATGTCTGTCAGGTAGGGTCCCAGTATATTCAGTTCCCAACCAGGTGGGTAAGGTTTTTATTACACCACATACTTTTTAAACACATATTTTTTACGCTGCAAGGAGAAATTCAAGGCTGAGATTCTGCTATGACTAAATTTGAGGAGCTGAGAGGGTAAGTCAAAGCAGATCTCTTTGATTCCCCCTGCAGAGGAGCAAGCTCCCCTTTGCCTGCCCTCACAGCTGTTTTGCAAGCCTGGATGCAGGCTCAGGAGCACAGGCCCCCTGACCCATGGCTCCCGAGGCTGTCACACACTGTATGGACATTTCTGCCTGTCTCCAAGGCCCAGAGTTTCTTCTGAGAGTGCGGGGAACTACACTTTGGTTCCTGAAATTAGCACCTGCCTGTGGAGGTGGGCAAATAAAATACCTCCACTCCACTGGCCCTATTACAACTCCTTGTTTGCTTGGCATGTGCCTTTGCTGGAGCCAACAGGACTTTGGCAGCAGAGTTAAAGGGATCAAGGTTTCATCTGCAGTCGTAAAGTTAAAAAATGCCAAAAAGCCCTTCCAGGCTTAGGACCCTGTGTTTCTGAGTCTGTATCCATGGTTCCTTTCAGAGCCCATCCACATTTTTGGTCTGGTTTCTGAGCACTGGCTTGTGGTAGGAGGTATGTTTCTACTCACAGGTTCGATTTAAGGGCAGAGGCTGGAATACTAACCCCCCTAAAACCATAGTAAAGCTAAAACAAATGCACAGTCGAGCAGTTTCTCAGTACCTTTGTAACTAGAAAGGACTTATTCAGTTAATAAATGTCAGCTCGTTTTCTCTGTGCAACCTGGTCTAGTGGACGGTGTCTCTGCCCATTGCAGGGGCTTGGAACTACGTGATCTTTAAGGTCCCTTCCAACTCAAAACATTCTATGATTATATCAAGGCTCTTTCTTTCAGATCAAGTCGGGACCCCCTTTGTTGTGCCACTGGTCTTCAAGCTTAAACTATATCTGGCCTTTCTTTTTTTTTTTAACCTTCTGAAAAGCAACCCCCCCCCCAGCTGCCCAGCCCAATCTCCCTCTTTTTTTAAGCCTCTCAACATTATTACAGGCTCTCCTCTAAAACTGGGCACCCATCACTATTTCTAGGTGACGTGCTCTTTGTGTGCACCTCCTGCTTAAGGGCCGCACCCGGCACAGTGTGTGCAAAAACCAGGTATTTAAAAAAAAAAAAACAAAACCGCGTGAACGAAGCTCCGAGCCCTTGGTCTGGAATCGCGTCCGCGTTCACAGCGAGGTTTCTACTTCGGGGAGAATTCAAGCGCTCGCCCTCCCGAGAGGACGGGGCGAACTTCTCTCGCGTTCTTCTCAGCCGGCAGAGCCGTCCCTCCCCTGCCCGGGGCTCTCCTTTGTTCGGGGCCGGGCTGCGGGGCGGAGAGGCGGGACCCCGTGCGCGCCCGGCGGGGGCAGCGCGGAGGGGCTGGGCCGGGGCGGGCGGAGCTGCCCCCGCGCTCGCTGTGCCCGCTCGGCCCCTCGGTCACCGTCGGGGCGGGCAGCATGTGGCGGAGGCTGCCGGTGTTGGCCCTGGCCGGGCTGCTGGTGCTGGGGCGGGCGCCGGCGGGGCGGGGGGCGGCCTGCGAGCCCGTGCGCATCCCGCTGTGTAAGCCGCTGCCCTGGAACATGACCAAGATGCCGAACCACCTGCACCACAGCACGCAGGCCAACGCCGTGCTGGCCATGGAGCAGTTCGAGGGGCTGCTGGGCACCAACTGCAGCCCCGACCTCCTCTTCTTCCTCTGCGCCATGTACGCGCCCATCTGCACCATCGACTTCCAGCACGAGCCCATCAAGCCCTGCAAGTCCGTCTGCGAGCGCGCCCGCGCCGGCTGCGAGCCCGTCCTGCTGCGCTACAGCCACACCTGGCCCGACAGCCTGGCCTGCGACGAGCTGCCGCTCTACGACCGCGGCGTCTGCATCTCCCCCGAGGCCATCGTCACCGCCGAGGGCGCGGGTGAGTGCGCGGGGACCGGCACCGGCACGGGGACAATGGGCGGCGGGCGGGGAGCGCAGCCCAGCCCCGCCAGCCCGGGAGCCCTGCCTCCCTTCCGCGCCGTCCGACTGCTCCCCGAGCCTCTTTGCTTGCCCTCCGCTCTTTTCCTCCCTTTTCTCTGCCTTTAGCAACTGCTGGAAAAGTTTTGCTGTTGGGCACAGGGGGTGTGTGACAAGTGACAGCCCTGCCGCCGCTCTGGGGATCGCGTAGGAGTGTGGGAACGACAGCCCTCGTTCCACAGAAATGGGAAACGTTTCCATACACCGCTTTGGTGTTCCATCGGCAGCGGTTGCTGGCTGAGAAGGCAGAGCCACCCGAGAGGTGCAGCCCCCAGCCTGCCGACTCCTCCAGCGCCTCTGTTTATCTCCAGCCACTCACTCCCCAAAGTGGGGT